CCCCAAAACCCCAAAACCCCAAAACCCCAAAACCCCACTGGTTTTGAATAAAATTGAAACCCACTTAATAAAACTCAGGTTTTCTTCCTCCAGTACTATGGTATTTTGATCTTAGAGTATTCTTCTTTTTACCAATGCCTTCTTTTGAACAATAAGCGCTATATATAAGTAAGATAAGTCTACCTTATTCCATACCCGCTGTTATCTTCATTCATCATTTGCTTTATCATTCTGCGTTGCTTCTTCTTCTTAAATTGAGTCAGGGCCCCTCCAATTCCTGCTGATTTTTGAAGTATCTCGTTATTTTAGCCTCGCCATGTTCTTCTTCATCAGAGGTTCATTACTCATTTGAGAAATCTTTTGAGCTGATCTGTTTGGAAAATTCAAATAGCCAATCTCAGAAGTATTTTCCATTTTTCGTTTTACTAACCTATTAGCCACCTTCTCAGTTTTGAGATTCGGAAATGCAGAGTTGTAGATAATATTTGTATTATTCGTGATTGTGTAGAGATGGGAGGATTTTGAATCACCCTTACCAGTTCTTCCAATCTTCTTTTCCTCTATTTGCCGTCTCTTCTTATAATCCGTTTGGTTAAGTTCGTCACTCTCAGAATCGGTTCTTTCATCAATGATATCTTCATGGCTATTCAGAGAGGATTTTACGCTTGACATTGAGTGTCCTTTTGCAGACCTGTTGTGGAATCTATTATTTTCTGAAGTTTTAGGTGTAAAGGCTTACTTTTCTTAATTATTCGTACTCTAACACCTTTGCCACTTCTGAGATTATTTTCTAGAAGTTTTGGTCTTCCTCTTTTTGTAGCCACGAGAGTTAACACTCATACTAGAATCACTAGAGTAAGATTTATTGCTATAGTTCGGCCTGTTCTTGCGGAAGTAGCCCAGCATGCTACCTGTAGTGGAACTTTCACTGCTTGATCCTTTAGAGCTATTCCTCTGAAGTTGTTTAGTATAGCTTGTCCTGACCAACCTCTGGTTGGTTTTACTCTGTGTATATTCTGGGAGATCTATCTGATAGTGACCACAAAGATTCTCAAATGCATAGGAGAATTTGGGAGGTAAATATTTTACCCTCTCAAGTTCTCTCATTCTTGTGATTATTTTGAAGAAGTACTTCTTAAATCGGTTTTCATCCCACCTTTCATCGCCTTGAAGCATTTGGCTCATGGAATGTTGCATCAGAAATCACAGATTGTAAAGATACTTGTTATACTTAGTCTCTTGTCCTCTTGTACCAAAGCCATTATAAACAGACATTTTTGTTTGAGAAATTTTTATGAAAATACTCTATTTTCAATTTTAGTAGATCCATTAGGGGTTTTGGGGTTTTGGGGTTTTGGGGTTTTGGGGTTTTGGGG